AGTAAGATTGCCCCCAAGGGTACAAAAGGAGGGAGCAGGAAGGTAGGACCACAATATCCCCTAAGCATCGTCGCCCTCAAGGAGGGAAATGGGGGAGCCGCCGCAGCAGCGCCTGAGAGGCAGGCGGGAAACTACAAGACCCGAGAGTTCCTGAGCCAAGGGCAGAAAAGACTTAAGAAAGGAAAAAGGAATCCTTCGCAGAGGACAATGGGATAAGGGCTGCTGGGAAGGCACCCAGAGGGACCCTCGCCAGAGAGCCAGCTCTTGCTTCTGCAGCCATGTGCTCTGTGCCTCAGACATGAGTGAGCTCAGGGGACTCATGCTGACCACACTCTTCATCACACGGGAGCCAGAGCACAGAGTCCTTACGCTGCAGTAAGAAATAGTCTCTTCTCGCGATCAGGATCCTTACGTCTGCCATCCGAGCACCTCCCTCTCGGAGACACCAAATCGGTGTGCAGATGGGGTCTGAACGCACAGAGCTGAGCGGAGATCACGGACTAGGGGCCCTTGGGGTGATCACAATGACATCCGGTGCCCATTGTCTCATGTGGCCAGGAGAGACTCCCAAACTGGCTTTCGAACAAAGACTACATCAAGAAAGTAGAAGATTTTGCTCTATGCTACTGACTGGATTAAGGATCCTGGGTGGTGCCCTCGGGTAAGGTTAGCATAAGGTCACTCCCCAGGGGAAAGGTAAGGCTAAGGCTATCCGTTCTTCGAAAGAGGTACAGCCTCAGAAACTCCATCTAGGGTCCCTATGAGTCAGCGTCAAAGTGGTGGCAGTGGTGTCTGGGTGGGATTGACTAAACGAAAGATACTCATTGTAATTGCCATTAGAATTCTCAAACTGAATGAAGTTTACTTCTAATGACATTTCTCACACAGCTAATATGCTGCCAATGAAGGAAATCATATATTTAACTACAGATATATATCTTCTCACTGACTATAAATAAATATTTATATTCATATAAGCATAGAGGGGGGTGGGGAAGGATATACATGCTATAAGATCTACTCCATGAATGGGCTGGAGCACCCACTTTAAGGTCTGTAGCCTAGCCACAGGTGTCACCTCGCTCTTACAGTGTGGCCCATCTCCATACCCTCATAAGATGTTCACGAAAGACTCGGTGCTATAGTAAAAGAGTGAGGGAATTAGATGATGCCAAGCTGTTGTAAAGAACCATGTCCAGTGTCTTGAGAGCTCGTCCCAACCAGTCCATGCAGAACCTAAATGTGATCAAAGAGTTCTAAACAAAATCCCTGATCAGAGAAGGGAATGTATTAGAACTGAAAAATCTAAAGCATTTGACTTAAGAAGGAAGGGGTGTAGTCTACAGTGAGATCCTTGACTCCTTTTTGAGTTGTGACATGAGTTTATGTGCCGTCTGAATTCTTTCTGACCATTCAACCAGCGATCTGACTCTGTTAGGCAAGTCCAGGACAAACGTAGGCAGGGGCAGTTTTCTCTCAAGTAGAGTGTGGTGGAAAGTAAATCAACCCTAAGTCCCGAAGCAAGCCTAGAGCGGTGAAGTGTTTTCCTCAAAGTACCAGGGAATTTTCTTGGCTATGTCTCTACTGATTTATTTGAAACACCTGCATGTTGGTGAGAGCCTGGTGGAACCCCTAAGGCCACGGCCCCTCGTGACCCTTCAGCTGTGGAACTGAACTCACCTTCCTTGTTGACTGTTTAAGATCAAAGGACAGCATGCACCCAGGGACTCATGGCAACAGGAAGCGTGAGGAAGAAGAGGAGGAAGTGATGGGATTGCAGTGGCTGGGTTAGAACTAAAGGTGTATGAGTTGTAGAACCTAAAACTGCTCCTCTGCTCTGTGGACACCCGCCCAAGGCAGGGTGGGGGCCTTCGGGCCATTTTCCAACACTAGAGGAGTTCTGTCACACTTGCTGAGCAGGGCCGAGGTCAGGGGCTGAGCGCGGAGAGACTGCGGACCCTGGAAAGGCACGTCAGCCGGCGTGGCTGAGAAGAGGCGCTGCAAACAAAAGAACTGTGCTCTTAATGTTTTGGAATCCTGACTTGTTGAAATCCTAATGAAACCCCATGTTCTTGAGTATTTCCTGTGAGATCTGTGTGGGTGTTGCAATGGATGATTGAACCCACGGAGGAATACAGTGCCCTGGGAGGCGATTTGATGTCAGAAAGGGGAAAAGAAGTTGGCGTGTGGATGCATAGCTGACCTCTGCCCTGTAGGGATCGGCCGGGGCGTGGTGGGGCGGGATTCACCTTCCCCCTGGTGTAAGTAGCGGAGATCAGACATATCACTTCAGCAAGATCTATCTTAAAGTACAACTGTTCCTGCGATAGGAAAATTGCCACACTATACCGAACACCAGGTAATAGGAGCATCATTAAAATTTACCCACCAATCACTAATGCCAAAGGGAAGAAACTGAAGCTGGCTAACAACTTCTGCAGTATGAAATTGATAAACGCGCAATCAAGATGCATTAACAATGCACACGTAAGTAATAATAATGTACAAATATGCTTGATACAATCGGCATGTGGATTGTTATATGAGCTGTAAGAGCCCCCAATAAAATGATCTTGTAAAAAAAACGATGCAAGGAGGGCAACAAATGTATAGATGTGCTCTACACAATTGATCTATGTATTGTGATGAATTTTATGAGCCCCAATAAATTGATTTAAAATATATATATATCTATGAAGACAACAGAAATTAAAATGTGTTTATAATATGACATGTAATATAAGAAATGTATAAGTTAAAATGGTATGTATACTGTTATCATAAATATTTAAAATAATTTCTCTCCATTTAAAGTAACATTCTGGAAAGGAAATCTTTTCATGTAATGGAATTATAGGTGTGATTTTAAAATGTTTACTATTGCTGTTATGTAACAATAAAATAAGCATTAAATAACTAAAAATTTTAAAAATAAAAAGATGCATTCATAAGTACTGGTCATGACTCAAGTAGAAAGAAAATGTTTTAAAAATGGTGATGGCAACATATGTACAAACGTCCTGGACACAATGGATGGATGTTTGGATTGGGATAAGAGCTGTGTGAGCCCTCAATAAAATGACTTTTAAAAAAAGTACTGGTCACTGGATTGTGAAACTTGGAAACCAAAAAGCATCAACTGGTGGAAATATGTCCCTGGTGATGGAAACAGTAGCAATCACAAGATGAAATATTGCCAGTTGAATTACTCGTTCAAAATACCTTTTCCATCACAGAAGCGTATCAGTGTGTTAGGATTCTCTAGAGAAAATAACCAGGGCACGTGATTTTATATAGATATTCGAGGATAGATATGTACAGCACAAAGGACTATAACAGCTAGTTAGTCCACACAGCAGTACAGAGGGCCCAGTTGAACTCGCTTCTGTGAAACAGTTAATATACTGGAAGTCCTTCAACTCATGAGGGCCCCTAGGTCCAAGGTCAAGGAAGAAGGGCCATGCCGGCAGTTTGGCCACAGGCACAAACAGTTGGGGCGCGTCACCAACAGCCAACAAGATGACAGGACCCGACAGTCCCAACCTCAAGCTACACGGTCCTCGGTCCTCCGGTTGTGTAGCTCCCAAACTGAGCCAAAGAACTGGCCGCCACATGCTGCTCCAATCACCAGAGAGCAAGAGAGAGAGAGGCGGGGGTGGCTGAGCCATTTCTCTCTCTGCCCTCCAATCAAACCACAACCTTATTAATCCCACATGTTCCTATTGGCCAGGTTGGCACAATAAACCTACCTATCACATCAGTGATAAGCTGTCAACAACTACAATGGAGAAAGTCAAGATCATGAGTCGGAACAAGACCAGGGGATGACTGCAGGATAGACCTTCAGTTGCTCCCATGCAAGTTCAAGATGAAGGTGAAATGTTTTCAAAGAAGCCCATAAGCACCAGACTACAACTTTGAGGATACCCTATCTGGGCGTAGAGGCCACTTCAAGAAAAGGTTTGACTCACTGAACCCCAGTGACCAAACACCAGATGAGACCGTTTATTGTGCCAGCCTGGCTCAAGTCCAAAGAACAGGCAGTCAGAGGAGGAGCCAGCGTCAGAGTCCACATCCGGCAGCACGCACACAGGCACATTCTGTCTGGGTCGCCATTCACAGAAGCAGACCGCGGCCCGAAGAAACTCTCCTTCCATTGGTTAGCTGCTCCCAGGAGATCTCACCACGGATCTGATTACATTATCGTACATTATGCTTATCGTGTTTCTTATATTAGTCACATGGGGAATGCACCAGTTGCCACAGGAACGGAGATTTCCGCTAAATGGACACCCCAGCTTAACGTGCACCATGTGTGTCAGTGTTGTCCAGCCTTCACCATAGTCGTTCAAATCTGTATGCTGAGCAAATAACCCGAGAAGCGGAGCTCTCCAAAGTCGCCCGGGTGGCAGCATGGCTAAAGCCACCAGCAGTGACCCAAAAGGCGGTTGATTCAAAGCCATCGGCAACTTCAAGGGAGAAAGATGTAACAGACGGTCTCAGAAACCGCACCAGGGCAGTTCTTTCTAGGCTAGCCTCCAGAACCACCAGGTCAGAGGAAACCAGCCTCCAACAACGGAAGGGTCCACAGGCGCAATCGTATGGCGATACTATATAAGGATTATAGGAAAGTCATGGAAGATAGGAGAGAGACTAAAATAAAGGAGCCAGACACATTTTATGGTAGCATGCTCACCTCAGCCCCGCTTGGTGGTTCACATGGAGGTGGGAGAAAAGCAAGAGGGGAGAGAGTCTTTACACTCTCGGGACATTTATAGGTAGCCATAAGCCATGCATATTCAGTAGTAACATACCTCACACAAGGTGGGTGATAACTACAGTAAGGTTCCTGAGGTCACAGGTGAGGAAACCTACTACCTGCAAAAGGGTGTCTGCTGCGATAGGCAGATAAAATCACCCATGTGCTCAGCAAAGCTGTTAGGGGAGAATCTGTGGGAGTGACATTTAAAGCAGGGTCGTGTACTTGGACTTTAACTTACCAAAGTGGTGGCTTTCCTACCATGGAATACCAGCTTTGCAGATTCCCTCGGTTGTAAGTTAGGGAACAGAGTCCTGGTCACATTTCCCTCCATGTCCGCTTCCCACATCGCTGTGCGTTGGAATCCACTGGATGGCCCTGAATTTGGGGGGTTGAACTGTAGAAGACGAACATGACCCCCGGGTGTGGGGAAGACTCATCAGCCACCTGTGGCGTGCAGCTGACACAACCTTGCTTGGTGAACGTGAGGCGGCCTTAACGCACGGACTGACAAACACCAAAAAGCACGCCTTCGAAGTGGACTCCACAAAACTCCCCACAACTGAGCTAACAGGCAGCATCATGGCAAAGCAGAAAAGCTTCCAAGAGTTCGAGTTATCTGGGTCCTCGTGGAAGCAGCAGCCTAAATCAAATCCTGTCATTGCTTCAGACAGATCTGCCAGAGAAGATGCCTTATTTAGACTGACACAAGTCACGGCTTTTCAATAGCCCAGTCTGCCCAGGAAGGCCCCAGACTGAATAAAGGAGACTGAAACAGAACGGGTGCCATCCGCGTGGTCACCAGTCCTGAAACCACCAGCTGTCCCTTCCACGAGGGACAGTCCGGGCTTTCCAGGTTCCCAAACAGCTACAGCCGCTGGGAAACACAGCAGGGTCGCTGAGTCAGTGTGCACTGGAGGGCGGGCATTTGGCGAGTAGAGTTGTCCGCTGAATTACAGGGTTGGTGGAGACTGCTGCCTGCAGAGCACCAGAAGAAGAAACGACCCATCTTGGAAGACGTGCCACCCCTTGATGAGAGGGCGGTCCGACTAGGTCTCCCTACTTTTAACACGCCCTCAGAAAAGGCGAGTAGCCTGGAGATGGAGAAGTACATGGTTCTTGGGAAAGTAGAAACATTGTAAGAGATGAGGGCCCTGAAGAAGATGGCTTTAAAAGGCGGCTGCAGCCATGGTCTGGAGCAGCAATGGCGAGGACGACTCTGGACAGGGAAAAGCTCCGTTCAGTTGTCCATGGGATCCGATGCACTTGAGCCCCTAAATTGCACCCAACGGCAACACACCCCACATGGGAGCCATGGATAGTTCCACTCCTCACCTGGGGGTTTTGTAACCTACCCCAAACCTGACTATCCTAAGTAAGAGCAGGGCACTCTCTCTGGCCCCTCATCCCACCTCTACTGATGGCCAGAAGCAGCCCAGCAGGCACCCTGCCCCTGACGGTGGTGGCGCAGCTGCTTTCCTCAGAAGACAAAG